GTCATTAGCACCTCTAGTAATATATTTACTGAGAAAAATGGTGACGTGTTCAATATATTTACCCACTGTATATATACTATACAGAAACAGCTCACCTTTACAACAAAAGAATACGTTTGAAAATCCGATCAAAATTGACCAAGTTATGGTTATTTAAATAGTAAATACACCACACACATTCATGTTAAGAGTGGGCGAGCTCCCCACTCCAAGATGGCTGCTGTGTGAGGACGTCGGTCTCCATTGGCCAACAGCGGGCCGGGTACTTATCTAGCCTTTATACTATATAGAATATATCCATGCACACACCCACTGGCCCGTGCTGAAATGAGCGCGACAGAATCGGAAGGAGGTTCTTAAAGAGACAGAGGCCAACAGATATGATAAGTCAAGTTTATTTTCTATATTTTCTAATAACATATAAACAGCATTTTAATAACAACTGAAGATGACATAGTCCCTTTTATTATGGTATAGAATTTAAATATATGCCTGAGAAACACATAATATTGCCCCTTTAAATATTGTATGTTTCATTGGAGTTGCTTTTGTTTTTCAACACATACTTGTTTTTTTTTCTATTTTTTTTAATCGATGTCTGGTGTTTATGCATTTCTTACAGTCTGATCACTGACTCCACTGTAAGCCTGTTTGTTTAGTCTTTTTTGAGCATTGTCATTTTAAAGCATGTTTTCAGCCTTTTGACCTTGATTTCCGATCATCCCATTTTGAGTCAAAATTTCTTGAAACACAGCCAATATTTTTGGCAAACTTTGAGTTAAATCAGAGTCTGAATTATCACTGTCTTCAAATTGCAAAAACTATCTTCTGCCTGGATATTTTTTGTTATAAATTTGTGAATAAAATATATTTTTACATATTATCTATTTTTCGACATTAGCTATAAACGTTTACATTTTAAGGTTGACTCGCATATTAGGCAGCCAAGATTAGTGGCTGATATAAATTAATAAACCACTTTGTGAAAAACTGTTAAAAATTAAATTCACAGATGGATGAAAATTAGTTTTAGTTTTGATGCAAACAATCGGGTTTTCCCTTCATATGTATTCATGATACTGAAGCTTTTCATGTTATTTAGAATCTTTTGTCTTCCTAAATTTCTGCTTGCAAGAAATGCACATCTGTCAGCTTTCATGCCAGTTTTAGACCTTCTTATGTTGAGAAATGTTCATCATGTGTATAATTTATTTAGTTATGACCAGTTTTGTTGGTGGTGGGGGACATTTTAACTTAGGCTGACTAAAAATGAATCATGGACGTCCAGTTTACCTTTTGCAAATTTTATTAAAAATGATAATCTGCCTCCGTCTATCAGTATCAGGTAATACAAGTGTGAAACTCAAGGCCCGCGGGCCAAATATGGCCCTCGTTGACATTGTACTAGGCCCCAGAGGTAAAACTAATGTAGAATAGCTACGCTTTCTCTTTTTTGTGGCTGTATTTAGTGGATTCTTTTCATGACAGTCGGACAACTTTCAAGCAAAGAAAATTGAGTAGGACTTTTTCAGTAAACTTTGATTTTAGTGTGGAAAGAGCAACAAAGCATCAACTTTAATTACCTTTTTTTTCAGTCTTCTCTTATTTTAATGTCAAACAACTGGATTTTTAGTGTTTTTTTTTTAACCCAATTTGCGGTTGTGATAACATGTACACATATGAAATGTAAAAAATAATTTATCGAAAAGGTGAGTACGGCAAGAAATGAGTGCCTAAAATTTGTATAAATTTTATATTTTTTGTTATTCATTAGGTTATGTAGGTTATAAACGCTACATAAAATATAATTAGAATATGTTATTTGTGTTTCTCTTAGAATTCATTGTTAAATCTGTTTATTGATCAAAGGGATCAATAAAGTATTTTTGAAATTTGAATTGTATAATTTTTTTTCAATAAATACTGACAAGAGATTGGCCCTTGGCTTAAACTAAGTTTTGAATTTTGGCCCCCTTGTGTAAATGAGTTTGACAGCCGTGAGATAATAAACAAATAAATAAAAATCCAGAACATATTTATTATCCAGTTTTAGTTTAATCTTTCATTAGAAAAAAAATCTCCACTTCAGTACACATTGCACAAGGCAAGGAGCCTTTTTTTTTTAAATTGTCAGTTTTTTTAAACCAATCCTTACGGTTTCTCTTTTCTTTAATCAATGTTAAAAGCAGCAGCAGCACTGACAGCAACAATCAGCTTTATTCCCCCCAAACCTCTCCAGCTCAGAGGAACAACTGGCACCAATATCCAGACAGAAAACAGGCATCCTGACTGAGGCCAGCGGAAGCATCCAAACAACTCTAAATTAAGGTTAGATTAACAAACCATTAAGCCCAACAGTTATAATCTTTGATCAACAGGTCAGCGAGGCTAAAGGAGATACACGCAGGAAATTTTGCTCGATGCTTCTTCTGTCTGCATTGGGGCTATATACAGTGGTTTGCAAAAGTATTCATACCCCTTGAACTTTTCCATATTTTGTCACATTACAACCACAAACATAAATATATTTCACTGGAATTTAATGTGAAAGACCAACACAAAGTGGTATACAATTGTGAAGTGGAAGCAAAATTTTACATGAATCAAAACATTTTTTACAAATAAAAAACTGAAAGGTGCGACGTGCAAAAGTATTCAGCCCCCTTTTCCCTGAGTGCAACCAATTGCATTCAGAAGTTGCCTGATGACTGCTAATGACTCAAAAGGGTCCACCTGTGTGTAATCTAATCTCAGTACAAATACAGCTGCTCCGTGACGGCCTCAGATGTTGGTTAAGAGAATATTGGGGAGCAAACAGCATCATGAAGTCCAAAGAACACACCAGACAGGTTAGGAATATGGTTTTGGAGAAGTTTAAAGCAGGCTTAGGTTATAAAAAGATTTCCCAAGCTTTGAACATCTCACGGAGCACTGTTCAATCCATCATCCGGAAATGGAAAGAGTATGGCACCACAGTAAAACTGCCAAGACAAGGCCGTCCACCTAAACTTACAGGCCGAACAAGGAGATCACTGATCAGAGAGGCAGCCAAGAGGCCCATGGTGACTCTGGATGAAATGCAGAGAGCCACAGCTCAGGTGGGGGAAACTGTCCACAGGACAACAATTAGTCGTGCACTACACAAATGTGGTCTTTATGGAAGAGTGGCAAGGAGAAAGCCATTGTTAAAAGAAAACCATAAGAAGTCCCGTTTGCAGTTTGCCAGAAGCCATGTTGAGGACACAGCAAACGTGGAAGAAGGTGCTTTGGTCAGACGAGACCAAAATTGAACTTTTTGGCCACAATGCAAAACGCTATGTGTGGCGGAGAAAGAACACTGCACATCACTCTGAAAACACCATCCCCACTGTCAAATATGGTGGTGGCAGCATCATGCTCTGGGGGTGCTTCTCTTCAGCAGGGACCGGGAAGTTGGTCAAAGTTGATGGGAAGATGGATGGAGCCAAATACAGGGCAATCTTGGAAGAAAACCTGTTGGAGTCAGCAAAAGATTTGAGACTGGGGCGGAGGTTCACCTTCCAGCAGGACAACGACCCTAAACATAAAGCCAAAGCTACAATGGAGTGGTTTAAAAAAAAGAATATTCATGTGTTAGAATGGCCCAGTCAAAGTCCAGACCTAAACCCAATTGAGAATTTGTGGCAAGATCTCAAAACTGCTGTTCACAAACGCTCTCCATCCAATCTGACTGAGCTTGAGCTGTTTTGCAAGGAGGAATGGGCAAGAATTGCAGTCACTAGATGTGCAAAGCTGGTGGAGACATACCCTAAAAGACTTGCAGCTGTAATTGCAGCAAAAGGTGGCTCCACAAAGTATTGACTCAGGGGGGCTGAATAATTTTGCACATCGCACTTTTCAGTTTTTTATTTGTAAAAAATGTTTTGATTCATGTAAAATTTTGCTTCCACTTCACAATTGTATACCACTTTGTGTTGGTCTTTCACATTAAATTCCAGTGAAATATATTTATGTTTGTGGTTGTAATGTGACAAAATATGGAAAAGTTCAAGGGGTATGAATACTTTTGCAAACCACTGTAAGAAGTGTCGAGCTGCGTTTGGGAAACCAGGTTCTGAACACTTAAAACCACTGCATTAACAGACAGATTGCTGGTGTCTAATATATCATATTATTAATAGTATTATTTACAAATCTCTGTACAATCAAATAGAGAAGGGTGAATACCTCTGTCCTGCAATCAAGCATTCATGGAGACAGTTTAAAGCCTGGAGAGGGTCATGTAACAGGATGTTGGACCAGATTAAAAACCTTTGACGAAAAGTTCAGAAAAAAAAAACAAAGTACAATGATGAATATCATTAGGGCTTCATGGTGAGCCTTACGTCCAACTAACACAGATGGAAATACTTATTTTTCAACAAAATGCTGAAAGCTCAGCTGGAACCCATTCAGCATTTAGAACATAAAAAAATAGCTGTTGGCTGTTAGCTCCTAATGTTCGTGATAAGATGAGCATTTTTTTTAAAAGCTCATCTATCCAAATCCTTCGGTGCATAATTAGGTCTAGAACATCCTGTTACAAGCATCTGCTTTGTTAAAGTCAACAACAAAATCAGCAGGACAGAAATCTTTAGGAAGAGAAACGTTCTTCGTCAAGTTTCAAACAGGATTTCACACGGGGACAATAACAGGGTTGCATATTTTCCAAAAAAGTATTTACAAACAATTCAAATATACTTTTGTTGATTTAGAGAAAGAGAGAGAGAAAGAAAGATTAGTTTGTTAGAAAGGATAAAGACGGATGAGTTACTGCATAGCTTGTTAGTTCAAATTAACTGAAACAGTTTAGTGCTTTAAGCTTATGAGTTCCTTACAGTACAAGGAAATACACACTGTTGAGTGCAGGTGGTCCCAGGGGGGGAAATCAACACCAAGAGTTAAACATAATCTATAGTCATGACAACATTATTAAAGCTGACAAACAGGAAAGCTGCATTTTACATCCAAAAATACAAGAATTTGAACTTTAGATGATCTACAAAGGCTTGGGATCATTTTAGGTTGATAGGAACACTGCATCCAATTTACAACGATACAGTTAAACCAGGACTGACAGATAAAACTCTGAAATGAAACAACATATCCTAAAATGTCCAACAGGGAGCTGACATTAGTTAAAATGTTCCCTTTTAAAAGTACTGACATCAAGCAACCACCAATAAGGCCAAATATTGAGTAGATAATCAAACACTCTCAGGACAATAATACGTGCTCAAACATCTTGCAACGACTCATCACTTTCATAAGTGCCGCAAATTAGAAAAGACTGATTAAAGATGGATTTACACTTTTTTAAAAACAATCACACTGGTTCTGTTATGCCAACAAAAACAATAAAACCAGAAAAAAGGGTTAAAGAAAAGTTTTTAACATGTAAAATTGGAAGTTTTACTCTGAAATTCTTAAAATCTAAAGAATGCTACAGCTCTAAAAAGATTTCACATTGACAATCAACACCGCTGCAGTACCAGTGGAAGTTATGTGACTGTTCACCTTGTATTACAGTACAATCACAGAAGACATTAAAACAATGATCTGAATGCACAACATAACAAAAACGCGAGTTTCAGCAGGAAACTGCCATTTTTTATGTGAAACTGAAGGGCACAAACAATGACGCAGCGAAACCAGGCTCACACACAGGAAAGGCAACTAATAGTGTCTTTCAGGCTGAAGGACGGGGGGGTGGCACAAAGATGACCCACACCAGCTTGATTTCACAGCTCGGTGGCACCTGATGGACCCGGGTCACGGTTTTCATCCAAACGTGAGTTAGAACAAGGCAAACAAAAAATAAAGCAGAGAACACAGTTGTGTCGCAGTTTGCCGCGTCATCGCAGCAAAATCGAAAACAATGAAGGTTCGAAGAGACGATTGTGAAAACATTTCTTTTAAAAAAATTATAAAATAAATACTGGTAGTATTTCTTTGCAAAGGCTATAATTACTTTCACATATTGTTTGTTATTGTATTCTGATTTGCTGTGGATGAAACCAGATTAAAGAACCGCTTCATAAAACAAAAACATAGCAGCAAACATAGAGGGTCAAAGTGTAGTCCAAGTCTCTTGATAACAGCAGTTGCTCATTTGTCAATAAGACCTTCAGAACACTTGCTTTGCTCTGTCTTCAGCAGAGAACCTCATAATGAATCGGATCAGAACTGTAGGAGGTTAAAGTAAATCTATGGAACATGAGAAGAGGAACATTTGAACTGTAGTGTTTCATTTATAACAGCAGAAACTGCACTGTCATACTTTGATCAAACGAAGAGAAGGCGGCTGTAGAAGTCCAGGCGTAGAAAGGGCAGGGTGCATGCAGCAAAGCTGTTACTGCTAAGCATCATAAATTACAAACCTTATCTACAGGATTAAGCTTAGATTTGTTAAACTATTACAATCTGCAAAAAAAGGACATGCGGATCCTTTAGAAAAATAAGTGTGGGTGTTAGCTCAGGATGATGTAAATATAGCTTATGAGATAATTTCCCATTTTAACACTTTAAAAGCCTAGTTTGTGCCAGTTTAGTTTCCAGTATGTGGTTATTTTTAGACCTTAAATAAAGCTGAAAACTTTCAAGTTTCATAGTTTGTTAAATTGAAGCATCTGGAGGGAAATCTGACAACTCCTTGAATGTATTTAACACAAAGAGGAGAGGATGATAATTTAAAACTGACAAGCTATAATCTAGATTATGTGTGATTTTAGCCAATGAGCATCTTGGTCCCCCCTCTGTTTCCTTTTGTAAGATGCTGCGCTTGCAAAAAGCAAATATAATCAGCAGGAACATCTAATGACACTGACATCCAAACAAGGAGGAAGCGAGGAAGTGAAGGCAGGATGTGAGGAAGAATCCAGACAGGAAAGTAGAAGATCACTCCTAACAAACACCAAGCTGCTGAGCTACACTGGGTCCTGAACAGAAATCAGCAATGCACTGATCTGTTGGAAAATGATGTTTTGGTCCAGCTGTTTCAGACTAAACTCAGCATGTTTGGTATCTGTGCATGGCAATACGGTAGTGTTAGCACTGCTTACAAGTAGGCAAATAAAAGAGACACAAACAAGAAGCAAAGGCCGTGTGCAGCGGAGCGAAAATCAGAAATAAAATCGGTTTTTCGGCTTTTCATCTGCGCAGAAGGAGGCAGGTAAATCGCAACTGGATTTGGCTTCAGTGTACACCTAAGAAGACAATAGTGTGACCTTTGTGCAGCAAATAGACACGCAAGTCTTCCAATCCTCAAAATATAGTTTCTGTGGTTGCAGAAATTCTATTTCCTCAAGTCACAGCTGGTAAAAAAATAAAAATAAAAAAAATCACTCAGTCAAGAGTGACTTTTGTATGTGTTGTTCATACTTTCTTTTCTGAATAGCAGCTGCACAGACACCAGACACACTACTGTCTCCAGGATGTAACGCTACAGTAGCTATTCACACATAGTAACCCCCTGCCTTCTCACACCCAAAGAAAACCAAAGATAATAAAGTATTTTGTCACTCTACAGTTCCAAACAAACAAACAAACAAACAAAAAAAACCATAAATTAATTATCACAATATTAAAACTCTATGATAGAAGGACTCTGGAAACTTTAGGAGATGACCGTTAGAGGTTATCAATATTTACAACTGTTAATATATATTAAAATGGCTTTTCTCAATTTCTGTGTCCCTCACTTAGTGTTCCTTTAGAGGTAAACTTTCAACAAAGTTAAACGTTGATGACATCACAGCATTTCAAAATGACAACATCGCAGCGTTGGGGTTGGAAGCTGCAATCCATCTGTTGGGAATCACTGATGTCACGACAAACTCTTCTTCACAGGTCCTCCGTTGTCTTGAGCAGCTCCATCAGCGCCCCCACAGCTCCGAAATAACCCTGAAGCAGGGAGGACAGAAACATTAGGACAATACTCACACATAACGAATGAAGAAAGCGTTTTTAAATAAACAAGAATAAAGATTTTAAAAAATGTGTTCAAGTTTGAATGGGTTCATACAGGAATATGTTTGATGTACAGTTATATAATAAACTAACTAACTAAACTAACAAATAAATAAATAAAATACAATTTTATTTGTTTATTTCTCACACAAACTATAAAAAAGTTAACCAGTAAGGAGTCTTTCTCTAAATCCCATGGAAAAGTAATTTATAAGTGAAAATGAGTCCCAAACACAATATAAACTCTAAGCCTTGGCAATGATTTCAGCTGAAAAACAAAACAAAAAGAAAAGCAGAACAATCACATGCCTTTGTCATGTCATCATCTGTTCTACGCTTTGTCATGTCATCTGTTCTATGCTTTGTCATGTCATCTGTTCTACGCTTTGTCATGTCATCTGTTCTACGCTTTGTCATATCATCTGTTCTACGCTTTGTCATGTCATCATCTGTTCTACGCTTTGTCATGTCATCATCTGTTCTACGCTTTGTCATGTCATCATCTGTTCTACACTTTGCAAACATCTGGGTTAAACTGTTTGAACTGATGTTAACCTCCAGTTTATTTGTCCATTGCTCACCTCGTGTTCCAGGAAGAGGGCTTTCAGTTGTCCTCTGGACCAGAAGTCCATGGCATAGGCTAGCAGTTTTGTGGACAGTGTGTTGATCCGAAGGAAGTTCCCGACGAACACCACGCTCTCAATTTTCTGATGAGACAAGGAAAGACAAATAAAAATGATGTGGTGTTACATGTGTGAAGAGCAAGTTGATGAAACGACAACAGAACAAATCAAATAAAAATATAAAAACTGTGCAGTCTCTGTCCCAAATCATGAGCAGGACTTTTAAATTGTTCAAAGAATTTCATTTCATTGATTTATACAATGAACCAAACAAAAAAATAATAAAAATAAATAAATAAAACAGTCCTTGTAAATATATTGTTTCATATTTTACATACACAACACTGACCGCACTGAATATTGATACATTGTCTACCAAACAAGGTGAACTGCCTTTTTTTCAGAAATCTTTGAAAGAACATTAGTGTGTCTTAGCATGTAGGAATAATTCTAAACGTAAAACAATCATTAAAAATACAGGATCAAAAGTTATGACAATAAAACCACTTGCATTAAAAAATATCAACACATATGCAACATTGACTTCACACCACAAGGTGGTGCTATAGTGCTGATTAACTAGTTGCAGTTGAAACAAATTAATGTCAATTAAATCATTAAGTGTATCACCAACTAAAAACCTCCCAGTAAAGCTCGACAAAGGCAGGGATATATATAAAAACAAATGTAATTATATAATTACCATCAGTACAGTGTAATATTCGTCCTTGCTGCAGTTCTGTGTGCAGTGATAGCCCTGTACAATGCTGCTTGATCGCCATGCCACAAGGCAACACTGTAAAGAAGCTCACTGCACACAGAAAGACTCCACACTGATTCTCCACTGTAAATCACCAATAAATAAATAAATAAATAAATAAATAAATGCGTCCCGAGACTCTCTCCAATCCAGCTTCAGATTTTCACTTAGTGTTCTGAATTATTAGAAACCAAAGAAACCATTTAAGCTGCTGCTTTTAATATCCACATTCATTCATTCATACAGCATTTTCTTAGTCACCTCAAATTAATATTTACAGCACACTGTGGGCTTCTGTAATTAAAAACAAAACAAAAAAAAAAACAAGTTTTTGTGTCTTTTTAATACAACATGAAACAATGCACAAATAACCAAGACCACCGTTTTGACACCAACAAACATTTTCATTTTAATTAAATTTTTCCACTCAGGATTCTGTGCGTGTGTGTTTACCTCGTTAACGGCACACATGCGTGCTATGGATCCTATGTTATTAGTGATGGTGACCAGCGTGGCCCTCGCCAGGTCTTCCTTACTGATGCTGTCTCGCTTGTCTTTGCACATCATGTGACCAAAACTAGAAAACAAGGCATGCAAAGCCCGACACGTTAATGAGTTGTTTTTTTTTTTTTTGTTTTGTTTTGTTTTATTTATTTTATTTTATTTTTTAAGAATTACGTAAAAACACGTATCTCTTGGCTGCAGATAAAAATTTAACCCTCGGACAAAGCAAAGAAAATATCCTGTTGTTTATCACCCAGTGTTTTGTTAAAGTGACAGGCAGGAACATCATAACAATACACACTGATTATAATGTGATCTTTGTGATAAAGCCAGCTTGCTTTATGGTTTAAACTCTGAACTGAGTTTATGTTCCCACTAACAGTGGGTTGTTAATTTACACGTAATTTTCAATATGCGTATGTCATAGTTGGTGTAAACCTTGTCAATATTTCAGATTATTCCTGTTCTAAATATGGAACATGAAAAACTTGTTAAATAAAGTAGTTTCCCAGATGATTTAACCCACTTTTAACAATCAGACTACCTAATTAGCCCTAGATTTTGTTGAGAACAGATTTATTAAGGTTTATTTTGATTTTAACAAGAGAATGAAGCAGAGTTTCTTGGCTTTATGTTTTTTGTTCCAGTCTTCCTCACCCACAAATATTAAAAAAATACATTTTTCACAGCCACTGAACAGTAACAATTCTGTCTAAACCACCAGCAGCACAGTCATCTGAAATTAAACAATCATCCCTTGTATTTACAAGAATTACAAGACTCATACTCAGGGTTTTTTAATCATTGTTGCAAATGAAAACACCCCAGAAGTCCACAGCTACAGAAACTAAAAAATATTTACACATTCAGATAAGTTTGACAATGACATAACCCTGATTAGGACCTGCCAGACCTGTTTTGTGAACTTAGGCCAGAGATCCCACGACACTGAAACTTTTAAACTGACATTCACCAACGTCACAATAACGTCATGCTCACCTAGATGCGACAGCAGAACCCTGCAGGCCGAAGCGCTCGTAGTCTCCCCCGTAGATGTCTTTCACCAGTTTGTCCACGTTTGTAGAGTCGCCCTTGCTGGCCATTTCCAATGCCTCCTCGAACGTCTCACAGCCCGTCAGAAGACAGCACAGGCCCAGAAACGTCCCACCTCCCAAACTGAAAATGAGGCAGACAGAGAAGATGAGTATGACAGGGACGATAACACGCAGAAGATAGAGAAAGATGCCGATAAGATGGAAGATAGCTGTGAAGAGAAGAGCAGGGAGAGGGCAAAGAGAAAGCAAAAAGAGATTAAAAATGAACAAAGGAATGAGTGGATAAGAAAGAAAGGAATAAAATAGCTATGAAAAAGAAAGAAAAATCTACTTTTAAGTTTATATTCTTTGTCACATGTTAGAGATTGTTGTGACTTGCAGATTTGACCTCTACCGTCAAATCATGTGCCATCAGCAGCAACATAAAACTTTATATCTGCTTACAGCAATAAAACAATTCTAGAAAATAAAGGGTGATGGGTGTGTAAATCAACAGCGTTTAAAATGCTTTTTTACATGAACTCTAACCCTTAACTTAACCTACTTCTGTACTGAACACTCTTTAGTCTCAAAAGCGAGGCTGCAGGGCAGGCCTACTAACACAGCTAAAGAAACAACCCTTCAAGCTGCCGCTTCCCAGCATATTCCTCTCCAACGCCAGGTCTATTACTAACAAAATCGACAAACTAAGGTTGCAGATTGCAGTTAACAAGTGCTTCAGAGACTGTTGTATTGCATTAATTACTAAGACATGGCTGCAGCCATCTAAACCGGACTCTGCTATTCAATTAGCTGGACGCACTGCCCACCGCCACGACAGAAACAGCGACTTGGGTAAGAGCAGAGGAGGGGGACTATGTATACAGTATACACAAATGATAGCTGGTGTAATAAAGCAAAGACTGTAGAGAGCTACTGTTTCCAGGACCTGGAATATACAGCGGGTAAAATAAGTATTGAACATGTCACCATTTTTCTCAGTAAATATATTACTAGAGGTGCAAATGACATGAAATTTTCACCAGATGTCGGTAACAACCCAAGTGATCCATACATACAAAGAAATCAAACCATAAATGTCCAGAAATGAAGTTATTTGTAATAATGTCGAATGGCACAGGGAAAAAGTATTGAACACACTTACTGAAATTTACCTCGCGCTGAGGCTGCACTGCGTAGAGG